TGCCTATTTCTCGATGTTCGCTTTGTGTTGCCGCAGTATTCGCCACAATATGATTGGCTGATCTTGGTTTAAAACTGCCAGATCGGGCGTTGCATTCGCATTTAAACATCACAGTAATACCTCGTTTAAATAGTCCAGTGTCAATTCTCGTTCTGCGATATTGTAAAGTGATAAAGGCTACGTTTCTTTATACATTCCGGATAATCTCATTTCACAGCCGGAATAAACAGAATGTGTTTGAAATATACGTTAACATATCATCAGGAACGTTCTAAAGAATAAGTAAACAAAAAAAAGTTCAGAATGAATAAAGAAATGCAGCCAAAAATAATACTTTCACATCGCAAATATTTTGTTGGAAATTTTCACTTCACGATAACACAAAACATAAATGTTTACGACATACAACAATACGACAATTACGACACCGTTGTGAATACCCCAATTGTATCTGTTACTTTTGTGCATGCTGCGTACTGCTTTTCACCATGAACCAATTAGAACAGATCTGACCGGTTGAGAAGCAGCCATTTGTAATAGCAATTGAGAAAAAAGTGTGTGACGTTCGTAATATTGAAGTTTGCTTTTTCTGTTTTGCTTCTTTCTTTATGTGCATTTTGTCGGTGGTTTATTTCAGTGATTTTTAAGTGATTTTTTGTGCAAATGTAATTAAAATGAAGTGCGCGGTGATTGGATGCAAAAACACGTACAAAAATAATAAATTGGTTAGCACAAACATGTGCACAACATTGCTTGCAGTTTTTCTTTATGCTTCGTCTTCATATTCTTTGTTTACTTTTCACAGAAAATAACATGGCGCCGAAATTACAAACGTCAGCCAGAAAATTACTTTTTTCTTTTGCTTCATCTTGTCAGATCTTGTGTCGTTGGATCATGGCTTTTCACTTAGAGAATTTTGGCAATGGAAATTAGCGATTGTCAGAATTCCACTTCAGTTTTAATTTAAGGGCTCTGTCACATAGTCAGTAATTATCACGATATTTTGATCGCGATCCATATTGATGGATTGATGGATCGCGCACGAATGCTACATGTTCAATATTTATCGTGTCAGTATTTGCACAATTTTTGTGCGGAACGCTTATTATGACGCAAAAATTATTTTTATTTTGTACGAATTGTTTACAGATAATGCATCTACAATTAGTTTAAAATTGTCAATGTTAATTAAATTTTTTTAATTTGTTTTGAAAGGTTTTAAGCACCGATAGCGATGGCATAGCGAATACGTTTTCGATGTTCGCATTATCAGAGTGCAAGATGTCCTGACAAATGTATGAATTGCGTTTGAAAGTGCTACACGATTAATATTTATTGACGGTATTGTGATCCGCGATCCAGATTTCAAAATTTTTAAAAATTTTGCGCTATGGATCACGATCTTTCAATACCGCATGCTACACCGTCAATAAATATCGCGATACTTAGATCATGACAATAAATACTGACCGTGTGACAGGGCCCTAAGAGACGCCACTAAAAATAAATTTAAAAAAGTCGAGTCGAAAGAAAAAAGTCGACTTCCATAAACTGAAAGTCGATCACAAATTCGACTTTCAGGAGTAAAGTCGATTTTAGTCGAAAGTCGACTCTTCCAGCCTACTGTGTTAAATCAAGCAGCTGATTGTCAACAGGATTTCCAATTTGTTTTGCATAACAGGAATTTCGTTATAAAAAATAGTATTTATCAAAAATGTCGAAAGCTGCAGGAAAACTTAAAGCCTTGAAAAAAAACGTTGAAAAGATAACCCATACCACCAAATTAAGAACAAATATACCAGCGGGAATGGCCGCCGCCGGCCCTCCGCTGGGTCCAATGCTCGGTCAGGTTAGTTCATACCTATAAGACTACGACATTGTAATCTTACAAACGTTAACAGTTCCATACATAAATAACAAACGATTTCATTGTGCAACAGCGAGCCATAAATATTGCTGCATTTTGCAAAGACTTCAATACGCGCACGGCAGATATGAAGGAGGGTGTTCCACTGCCTTGTCGTGTCTCAGTCAACAGTGATCGAAGCTACAACTTGGTTATTCACTCGCCACCGGCCACATTTTTTTTCAAGCAAGCGGCTGGCATCCCTCGCGGGGCTATGCAACCTGGTCGAGAAATTGCTGGTATGGTCACTCTGAAACATCTATATGAAATTGCCGCAATAAAAATTAACGATCCACCCAACGCCTTACTAACTATGCAGGTGAGAATATTTAAACGATTACGTTTGATATTTTATTGTGCAAAACTCAAACTTTTTCAGCAAATGTGTGAAATGCTTGTTGGTGTCGCCCGTACGTGCGGAATAAAAATTGTACGAGATTTGAACTCAGAAGAGTATGCGAAATTTTTAGAGGAACGACAGCTGGTGGTTGAAGCACAAAAACAAGAGTTACAAGAAAAGCGGGATGCAAAGATGCTGCGAACTGGTTAAGTGTCACCCTTAGGCATACATTTTTATTTAATAAATTAAAATAGTAAAAAAAAGCTAAGCAAATCCGAGTTGTCTACGATCTTTAGCCGCATTCTTTTTGCGTCGTTTTTCTAAATGTTTGCTAAGTTTCCCAGATTCTTTCAGTTGCTCAAATTGTTGTACTAATTCCTTAGCACGTCGCTCCCCTGAAAACAAACAGCATTTTTACTAACGTTATAAAGATTTAGATAGCACTTACTCTTTGTGATGTAATGTGGACGACCGCCTTTCTGAATCGTCTGTTTGATTTCTAGCTTTTCTCGATTCAAGGACTCTTGCTTCAAGTGCCATTTTTTGTCTTCAAGGTTCTTGTTGGCGAGGCTTTGAATTTCTTTTTGCAATCTCTCGCGTTCTTCACTGTTTTCAGTTTCGCGTAATTGTTTGCGAAGCCGAATTATGTCCTTTTGTCTAATTTTTACAAGGAATTTATAATTTTCTTTAAAATGATTAACTTTGAAATCTCCACAATTTGAATCAAATCGTGGGTCACGCACTTCTTCCTCAGCTTGGCCTTTATTTTTCTGTTCGACAGATATAAAAGGCACTTGTCTCTTAGCAGAAAATTCACGTGGGCGATTTTTATTTAAGCGCTTAAATGAAGTCTTCTTAGCATTTAAATTCCTAGTTGTATCTTTATCAGTCCCAATTACAGCCTCCTTATATAACCTTGCACCTAACTCTTCTTTCAGTTTCATTATTTCCTCGAAACTCATTTTGCGAAGATCCTCTCGAATGGAGCCCTTTATAAACATGTGTACACATTCTGAAAATGAGATACGATTTCCAACTAAAAAACTTGTAGAAAAACCTACCCTCTGCTCTTCATTGTGGTCGGAGCACTCGCTATCTGAAGATATTGAATTCATTCTCTTTTAATCTCCGGTTTCTTAACAACGGAATCCTTTTGTTTATAAACTTTAATCCAGAAGAATTATATTATAACAATGATTATAACCATTGTGATTATAGGTGGCAATAGAACTGTAAAAATATCGAAGACACTATCGATAGTCTGGTCACATGAAATAACTATCGATAGTTTTAGTACTGTCGCCACTACCCGCTTTTGATATTTCAAAAGACGGTAATTATCTAGGTGGGATTTCAACCCCTAAAATTGATGATTAGACGTGTCTGGACCCAAGTAACAAGAATCCGAAAGCGGAAATTAACTTTTTTTTACCCGATCAAAAGTTATTAAGAAAAACTTTTTCACAATAGGACCTTTTTATTCACTTACAGGTCTATTCCTCACGTTACCAAAGATTTTGTAACCGGAAAATTTTATTACCAAAAAATGTTACCAGTTCTTGTCACCGCGATTCTGGTTACGTTGGTAATGCAGTTAAAATATTCAGCAATTGAGCTTCGGGCTCAGCTTATGAGATGGTAACAAAATTTACCGCTTGCAGGAGTACACAGAATTGGAAAAGGGTTTAAAATTTGACAGGAACTTAATCCCCGGCAGTATTCAGAATTGGGCTGTTAAAAATGAGCCGTATCAGGGAAAACGGGTAGACGCTACATGTCTCCCTTTGATTGTGGAATAAAAACACATTGTGAAGATACGTTATTGGTGCGTTCGACAAGTCAAAAATTTGTAATAGATTTCCAAATTTTTACTGGATGGGGTTCGATAACGGCAAAAAATTATCCAACACACAAAAATTGAGAGAGCAAGCGTTCATTTTGATGCAAGAGAAGCGTTCATTTTGCACTGGCAAAATTTTAGTCAGCAAAAACTATCCAAAACGAAAACATATGATCACAAAACATATGGTTGCAATTTCTGTAAACAAACAAAATTGCATTTTCCGAGTTTTGGTATTTATATGCTTTTTGGCTGCCTGCTATGTGACTTTATGATAGCGCCAACTAGTTTTTACTTCTAGAAATGTTCCTGGCGAACATTGAACGTTCACTTTCCTTTTTTCCTATGGAGGCAACATGAATTTCAGTTTGTTTACAAATAAAACATAAACAAAGTCAGCTGGTGTGTCTTCTTCTTCCGGTTTTTGCAAGTAAAGCGAAGCGCACATTAGCGCGATTCCATCGTTGCGAATTCGGCTGTTAACTTCGAATCCGCAAACGTGCGCACACTTGAGCGATTTTTTCGCGTCGATTTCCGATGTTCAATTCACTCAATTTTCCCTTTATTTCGTGTATTTTCGCACTCGGCGTGCCCAAATCGTACAAAATACTATTATTACGCACGTTTTTATTAGTTTTTGTACATTACACGTTTTTTTTTCTTTGCCTTTATTGCTGTGACACCTTTGAATGAACATTGAATGTTCGAAAAATTCGCAGCGACGGAATCGTGCAAGTGTGCGCTAGCGCATTAAAATGTATGGGTAGCATTGTTGTAATTTTTGGGCTTGCGGATTCGCAACGACAGAATCGCGCCAATGTGCGCTTCGCTTAATGGCTAATTTCCTGTTCGTTTACTTTCTTGCTTTTTCATCTCTTTGGGAGAGAATTTTCGCTTACTCTCTTGATTGTGATTGTTGGCTGGTGTTGGCTAATTTTGTTATCGAACGCAACTACTATCAATGTAGAAGTATCACATATTTGTATTGTACATACATATGGATAATTTGGAATGATTCCATTTTTTTCTTATAAAAATTTATTGCAAAAAAAAAAGATGTTTTGACCGATTGTTAATCGCGATTGGCAATTCGTTGGCAGAGTATGCGACGGAGAACCACCGAGATGTTTTAACAACCGCAGGCCAGCAGCGAGACCGAGATGATTTGGTCGATTGTTAGCGAATATGTTACATCAGCTTAAGCACGACTATTTTCGAATGGCAATTCGTCTACTAGGGAAAACATCGAGAACAATAGGGATATTTGAACAATCGAGACAATCCACTAAAACATCTCGGACCCGCCCATCACTAAGCAAACATCGATGTTTCCGATGCATCGATGTTTTTTCTGAATTCCTAACTACGATCAGCTTTAAAAAATTTAATACTTTGCGAAAATGGCGAAAGTGTATTTAAATAGAGAACTAGTTTTCCAAACGCAAGCAGAGAACTGCTTTAGTATTAAAAACTCAATTTTACAACGACATGTAAGTATTTCTCTGGATAAAATCGCATTGTATAGGCAACGTACTATAACGTATAAACCATAATTGCAGGGCTTATTACCAGATGATATATATTTAGAACAGAATGGCCGTAAATTAATGCCAAATGACATAGTTTCTGGAGTAGCTCAGTGCCGTTTACGCGTGTTTGGTGGAAAAGGTGGATTTGGTTCCATGCTGCGGGCCATTGGTGCACAAATAGAAAAAACTACAAACAGGGAAGCATGTCGGGACCTAAGCGGGCGTCGTTTGCGTGATATTAATGAGGAAAAGCGGTTGAAAGCCGTTTTAGAGAAAATGGGAGACTTAGAACGTGATTCTCAAGAACGTAAAAAACGGAAAATTGAAAAATTGCTTGCACTTCCACGCCATGACTTCAAAGACAAAGAGTATGAAGAGGCCAGAGATAAATTGGCCGAAAAAGTAAATAGCGCAGTTGAGGAAGGCTTAAGAAAACGCGAAGATAAACCTGGGTGCAGTAACCAATCTTTAAAACGTAAACATTCAAAACTTGGTGCAATTAATACCCAAAAGAAAAAGGCTTTATGGATCGACGAAGATATCTTAGACTCGGATGCAAGTGACGAGTCATCTGATGAATCGAATTCAACGCCCGATTCTTATGAAAAAGAAGAGTTAATAACGGACGAAACTTTACTCCATCCTGATCAGAAGAATAAAGTAAATAGCGTGGTTACGGAAGGCCCAGGAAAAATCGAAGATGAACCTGGGTGCACTAACGATTCTTTAAAACGTAAGCAATCAAAACTTAGTGCAATTAATGATAATAAGAAGAAAGCTTTATCGAAGATGGATGAAAGTGACGAGTCATCTGATGAATCGAATTCAACGCCCGATTCTTATGAAAAAGAAGAGTTAATAACGGACGAAATTTTACTCCATCCTGATCAGAAGAATAAAGTAAATAGCGTGGTTACGGAAGGCCCAGGAAAAATCGAAGATGAACCTGGGTGCACTAACGATTCTTTAAAACGTAAGCAATCAAAACTTAGTGCAATTAATGATAAAAAGAAGAAAGCTTTATCGAAGATGGATGAAAGTGACGAGTCATCTGATGAATCGAATTCAACGCCCGATTCTTATGAAAAAGAAGAGTTAACAACAGGCGAAACTCAACTCCAACCTGATCAGAAGAATAAGGTCTCGACAAAAGTTTCAATCTAAATATCTTATTACGACTTGGTGCTCCTCCGTAATGAAGTGTATGTATTTCGACATGTGAAACACATAATCCCCAATTCAAAAATATTCATTATTCCCAAATAAAAAGTCCCCACACTTTTTTAGTAGCAGTGTCACAAAATGCCCACAACACAAAATCCCAGAACTTTTGAATAAATGATATTAATAATAATTACGCATTCGATCTTCGACAGTGCGTCGCCTGGGTAAAAGATTGCCGTAAGCGCAATTTTGAAGATTTTTAGTTAAATGCAGTTATATATTTTGAAATGTCTTTTGATTGGTGTTATCAGTTTCTAGATATCTCCTTTAGTTTCCGATATGTTGACTATAATTTTTTCGATATTTTAGTAAAAATTTAGTAAGTGGTGTAATCATATTAAACTAATCCATCCATACCTTAAAAATGCCATTCTCGATTTTTGGATATCTTCAATTTCCGTGATATTGAGTAAAAAGTCTCATTAATTTAGTAAAAATTTTGATCACGTATTTCATACTAAGTGGCTGCCAAATTGTGGACAAATGACGCTTACGACAAAATTTTACTAGAGAAAATCCTTCATAAACTCAAATAAACTAAACATTACAAATTAAATAATTTAAGAATTGTGTGAAGTAGTAACATTTTCAGATAATTTGGAGAAAATCTAGGGTGCGTTCAGAAATGCATCAAGCCAAAGCATCCGAGTCTTTTATTTCTAAACTATAATTGATGGAAATGTTTTATTTGAGCTACTAAGTTCCAATTCGGCTTTTAACCGTGGTTGCGCATATTTGACATTTCCATCAATTATAGTTTAGAAATAAAAGAGACTGATGCTTTGGCTTGATGCATTTCTGAACGCGCCCCTATCTTGGAGTTTGAGAACTTGCAAATAACCAGCGAAGATCGAAAATCGAATGCAACTTATAATAAAGGTCTAAATAGTGTACTTATACATATTTATGTAAATTTGTGTAAATTAAAATGAAGTAAATAAAACTATAGTTTAAAAAACCAAAACCTCGCTATTATAATTTCTGAATAGAACTCCTTAGACTCGTTTATTACTCCAAATGTTTGCTGGGCATTTTCTGTGTGAAATACATTCAAATTAGGTTAAAATCGCGGCGATTACATAATGACCGGAAAATAAATTAATTCTACAGAGTTTTATTTCGGTTTAATCACTCTTAAATGAATTTAATATGATTAATCATTGGCGAACTGCGATGAAACCCATGCAAGTCCCCACTTTAAATTTGTTAACATAAATTTTAAAGCCTTTGTCCATTGCTCTTCCGAGTTAAACTGAATTCTGTAAAAATATGTATTTATAAAAAAAAGTAGGTCCTTTCTTTATGTTATGCTTACTTGATCGAATATGAATTTCCAGTTGAAGGGTCAATAATTTTCCCTTTTTCCATTTTGTATGGTAGTAGAAATTCTGTATCTCGTTTTTCAACTTCTTGCCTGAACTGTGTTAAACAGTCAAGAAAAGCTACCATAGCAGCGTCAAATTTGGTGTCCCAAAAGAATTTAAATCCTCCGGTTCCATAGAGTGGCAATTCACGATTTTCTCCAATCACTTCAACATATGAATGATTTCCAAACGGTACAAGACGATAACGTTCGAACGTCAATCCTATCTTACGAGCAAGGGCACATAACAACAACACCGTCTGACCCCAGGCAGCATTTATTTCTGACCAATCTACCGCAGCAGAGGGCAATCGTCCGAGTCGAAAATTATTTATAGTGCCAAAATGTCCAGCATGCCATATATGAAAAGTAATATTGAAAATGTTTGCATCCTTAAGTTTTTCCAACTGCTGCTCTGCGTAACTTATCTGACATTCCAAACTGCGTTTATCATCTTCTGTGAGCATTAATTCCCGGCGATGTTTTGTATATTCTCGCCAGTAAACTGCTTCTTGTTGCTGGAGCTTATTTTTCTCTTCCTCCTCTTTTTTAATTTCTTCGTTTAATGATTCTTCCTCAAGCTTAAGCTTTTCTAATTTTGACAGCATTCGAGATTCGCTCTCCTGCAATTCACCTAACTCCTTTTCTAATTCAGCTATATTTGGACAGTCTTGTTGTTGCTCAAGATTTTCCAAGTAATTTTTGTAGTCGCGCCATTCTTGTTCTGCTACTTTTAGTTCTTGATCCATAATTTCTAGCATCGAATCCGCACATTCCTCACACAACGGATGGTCAATTTCCGAATTTGAGGACAGGCAGTCAAATAATTCAGCTTTAAGTTTAAAGGCATCGCTCCATTTCTTTTCACGACCGTCCGATACCAGCATAAAACCAGTACCATTAATCGAATCTGTCAAACGAAAAGGCGGAACAAAATGATCAAAAACGCTTGGGTCATCTGGGTCCAGCGTATTCATATTGCCTGAATAAATAGGTACTGAAAAAATTTTAATTTAATTAGAAACTGAAAACTGAAATACACATATATATGTATATATATATATAACATGATCCATACACGAAAGTTCTGCCATGGAATGCACATCGATATTTTCCAGACTCTCGTCCAATATAATGGGCTGCATACAACTTTGGCAAGCAAAGGAGACAGGAACTTTATCTTCCTCCGTCATTTTGTAAATCTTAATTATTTGCCTTAAATAACATCTGATGAAACACTTTATACATACATACAGTAGGGTTTGCAAACCATTGATGGTAATATCGATACTATCGATGGTCGCCTACTATCGACAATCATCAATGATTTCCCCGCCGTCTTCATGCTTGATAAAGTACGTTTACATATAAATATAATCTCAATCAAAGATCGGTTTTTAATCATCCTGTTTATACAGCCAAATCTCAGATTATTATCCGTTAAATTTATTGTGCTTTTTGCTCTAACATCTCAAGTCAAGGAAAAGTTAAGTTTCTTTTCTCTGTCACCGTGATCACTTTTTCTGCTATATTAAGTTTTTTAAATTAGGGGATTCCCTTAAACTCGTAAAGTCTTAAACTGTGTAAAACTGGTAAGTTTACGAGGCTTTTATGAGAACGCCCCCTTTGTAAAAAGGTGTAAATAGGTGCGTAAAGTGGCTGTTTGACAGACCAACCAGAATTTTGTGAAGCTTTTTTTGTTTCGTAGTATTCTCCATAACATCATTCCACCTTCTTTCTATAACTATTGGCTAAAATACAATTAAAAATGCCGAAAATTAGCAGAAACCCAAAGTCAATACAGTTAGCGGATGAAATTCATTCATTTTATTCGCTTATTATTGTTTTCATATATTTTCATTATTTTATCATACATTTTAGTATAACAATTTTGGCCCCTCGGCAACATTAAAGTTTACAAGGTCATTTGCGCATCAAAGGCCAGTGTTATGCAGACAAGCTTTTGTTTGACAAAATAAATGGCGGCTGCGTAGTTTGCTCGGAGGTGGTCATGTCGAGTTGGGCACAGGGTTGCACGCTGATTGTGGTTTTCGTGGCCATTGCCAACACGAAATGATACTTTCAGATGTACATATCGTGCACAAATTAATATTTTTTTGCTAAATATGGTGCCGATGCGATTAAGATTGGCCCTTTTATTACGCTTTCCAGCATCAGATTGAAAAAGTCGCACGAGAGTGGATCGCCTTTTCTAAAACCTCGTTGGTCTCAAACGGCGCGGAGAGGTCCTTACCAATTTCGACGGAGCTGAAGATTGCGCTCAACGTCACCCTACATAGGGATCCCAAATTCGGACATGTCGTACAGGCAGCTCTTCGTGCTATCAAAAGCAGCTTTAAAATTAATGGTGAACTTACCAGGTTTGAAGCCACAATTTTAAGATCCAATCAGCTGGCTTGTGAACGGCTTCACAACGGCAGGTATACCGTCGGCTCCGGGGGCCTTGTTGTTCTTAAGCCGCATTGTTGCTGTTCTCACCTCGTCTTGGTCGAGTTGAGGGACGTAAGCTTCCTCCCTATATTGGTTCGGGTCCTCCTTCATCAAACGCGCCATTCAAAAGCATTGAGAAGTGTTCCCTCCATATCCTTAAGTGTATTCTGGACATCTGTTAACAGATTTCCAGCTTCATCTTTGCAGGAGCTATCCCCGGTTTTAAAACCATTTAATTTCTGACTTATTTTCTGATAGAATTTTCGAGCCGCATTCCTGCCTGCCAACATCTCAAGCTCTTCGCAATCACGCCTTTCTGTCTCTCTTTTCTTTCTCTTGAAAAGGCGTCTCTCTTCTCTTCTTTTCTCCCGGTATCACTCAATTGTCGCTCGTGTCGCCATTGGCTGCAGGCTAGCTTTGTATCATGAACCAAAAATACAAGATCACGCCAGCAAGCCAGTTGCCCGATAAAATCGCATTTAGGAAAAAAGCTGGGCGATTTTGCATTTGTTCTTTGCTTACAATTTGGTGGTGGCTTTTTACTGGAATTTTCTTCATTTTCGCTTCTGACAACGTTTGTACACATAAGGTAAAGAATAATTTAACACAACGACATGATTTATAGAAGAGTTTGTATAATAAAAATGGTTATTCATGCGTTCAACAACTACGTGGTTTTCTTCTTTCTATTCGTTGTTTACTTCTTACAACAAAGATGGCGTCGAGATTTCGACAGCTAGAAAATCATTTGTTTCTTCCTTTCGTTCGCGCGTGATCTTGTGTCTTGCGTTCATGGTTTTGTATGCTGCGTATTTTTCCGCAGCAGCAGCGCGGCACTCTTCGCCATATCAGTTGTTTCTGCGCGGTTGGTAGTAACCAACAACCTTTTCCGCAGTGGTACGAAGGGATTGGGAGATGGAGTCCCATGGGTAGAGCCTGCACTCAGCGTAGAGTTAAAGCGGCATTCCGCAAGGTGGTTTTGC